GATTAATTTCTTTAGATTATATATGTAAAATTATTGTATTAAAGAGGTAAGGAAAGTCGCATTTAATAAAAATAGACAATTTTAAAGGTAATAAGTAATTAAAGATTGACCAGTAAGTATCCGGTTTGGATGCGGTATCAGGCAGATGATGACGTCGGGTACTCAGCAGTGCTAGGTAATTCTACAAGAGAAAAATTAAAAAACCAATACTAGTAAAAATAATTTATTAAATATAACTAAACCTTCCAAATTAAAATTAAAGATCGGCCGGTATCCGGTTTGGATGCGGTGTCAGGCAGTTCTGGCATTTTTTTAGGATCCGGTCAGGTACCGGATAATGACGTCAGGTACTCGGCAGTGCCAGGTAATTCTACAAGTGAACAATGAAAAAAAAACCAACACCAGTAATAATAATTTAATAAGTATGACTAAATTTTCCAAATGAAAATTAAAATTAAAGATGAGCCGGTATCCGGTTTGGATGAGATATCAGGCAGCTCTGGCATTTTTTTAGGATCCGGTCAGGTACCGGATAATGACGTCAGGTACTCGGCAGTGCCAGGTAATTCTACAAGTGAACAATGAAAAAAAAACCAACACCAGTAATAATAATTTAATAAGTATGACTAAATTTTCCAAATGAAAATTAAAATTAAAGATGAGCCGGTATCCGGTTTGGATGAGATATCAGGCAGCTCTGGCATTTTTTTAGGATCCGGTCAGGTACCGGATAATGACGTCAGGTACTCGGCAGTGCCAGGTAATTCTACAAGAGAAAAATGAAAAAAACCAACACCAGTAATAATAATTTAATAAGTATGACTAAAACCTATCTGATGAAAGTTGGTAATTAATTTGTATTATTTATTGATTAGTGATTACTATACTAAATTATTTGTTATTTCGATAGTTCTTGTGTTGTTTTTCTCGTAAAAAAAAACATGACTGAATTGTTACAATTTCTGTCGCTTGCTGGCACCGTTGTAGCCACAGGGAGGGGGGTTAGGAGGTTGAAACCTCCCTTCCAAAATCTTGTGATAAAACAAACCGTTTATTAAAATGATTTAAGGAATAGACTATCGGTATCAAAAACAAATTATTATTATTAGCGGAAGGGATCTAAAAAAATATCCATGTTCCTTTAATCGCCGATTTTTTGTACATCAAAAGTGTGTAAGAAATTGGTAACAAATGACTTACTTGTTTATTAGATTTACCATACAAGTTTTGAAAATGCTTTGCGAAAATAATTAAAATTTAAACAATAACTTTTTACCAAAACTATTTTAAATTTCACTTTGTCAATCTAGTTGCTTTCTCGCATAATCCTTCTGTAATTTCATCATTCATCCTATTTGGAACTTTTCCTTTCAGTAATAATTGTTATATTACCAACAATAATTAATATATTTCTTATTTGTTTGCTAGTATTCTTATGCATCCTGTATGTGTTCCTCACCATATATGCATTTTTGCTAGTTATTAGATATCATCATAGTCATTATAAGATCATCAGTCCTAAGACTGGTTGGACACTCACTCCTACTCTTTCCTATCCTTAGCTAATCTTCGCATTTCCCTAACATTCCACATCCTTAACTATTTGTGAACCTCTTTCTACCACAATTCCTGTTAACTCCTGTTTCTACTTCTAAAATGTCTTTAACTAGCCCTTCATGTCTGAGAAGTGTCCTACCAACCTATCTCACCTATTTCTTATTGATTTCCATAGTGTTCTCTCTCCTCCTACTCTTTCTAATACCTTCTCTTTTGTAGCCCTTTCTCGTTAGATATAAAAAGAAAAAATGGCGACAAAGAAATGCGTAATTTCTAGGTTCCTTGATGGTTTTGCCTTACCTGTATAATAGAGATACCTGCACGTACCTTCAACAGGTACATGTACAGTAGAAGCCCTGTTAATCGGCTACCTCGGAGCTAGGACCTTGGCCCAATCCCAATTATAACCGATTAATCGTACAAATATGCATTTGATATTTATTTCAGTTTCTCTGTCGTTGTTTTTCTTAGTTAATAATCGATTAATGCGTGACCGGTTAGCAAGAGATCTACTGTAACCGAAAAGGTATTATTCATAAACATTTTCACATTTTGGCTCTTAAAGGTGTCGATATGTTTTACCCTTAACTTATTTAATGTTAATATAACCTAATGTTGATTAAGTTTTGATTCGAAGGAAGTATTTTCTTTTGTTTGAATCTAAAAAAACAAACAATAAGAACAAACAGCTAACTACAGTAGTTTTTTGCTGTTCGTACTGCGAATGTACAGTTATAGCGAAACTTAGCGCATTGCATGTTTTATCTCGCTGTAAATCCGCTTGGTTATTACCACTTCGTAGCTTTTCAACTAACTTTTTACGGTTGCTGTAAATAAAAATGCGTTGTCAGATGAGTGTTAAATCTACGGGCAAATCTTTTTTCAAGAGCATACCGTTATTAAGACAGCTGAAAAACACGAGAAAAAACAACGGCGCTGGATTTAAAAGCATTCCTGCCATATTCGTTTTCACCGAAACGAAACATTCGGGAATGAAACGCCATCACGCCACGTCGCGTCCGCCACATCTGGTGGTTCTTTTGTTCAAGAGTGTTTTTCATTTGTCTTCTTTTAGATACATAAATTTGGTTTTACAAATGGCGTTTCTAGCAAAAAAAATTATTTGGTACAAAAAGGGAAGACTTTTTTTTTGTTTCCTTATTCACAAGTATATACAGTAACTTTTAGTGCCGGCAGTGCCGGAGAAGAGAAGAAAATACCCAAACACCAGCAATAATAATAATACTAAACTAAATCATTTGTTATTTCGATATAGTTCTTGTTTTTTTAGTTTTTCTCTCAGCATGGTCGAACTGTTACAATTTCCGTATCTTGTTGGTATATAAGGTTTTAATTAACGATAACTTATTACTATGATTTTGTCACCTTGAAAACTTCTAATGTTTACAATCACTACAGGCTCGTTTCAAAAGTTTCAACTCAACCCTCTCGTTGAAAATCCGCCAAGCAAGAATTANTGTACTATATAGACATTATTATTGATAATTCAGTTATACCAGTAAAATATTGATTCTTTAGTTATACCAGACAATATTGATTATTCAGTAAAACCAGTAAATATTAATTCATCTTTATACCAGTTAATTCAGATTAAGAACCAAACATAACCAATAAACCGATAATCCAAGTTTGTGTTCTTATTTTTTCATCTAACTAACTACGCAAATTTAATTAGGCGCGTAGTCCGTCTAAATCAAGACGGGACATTACACCTATAATATTTTTACAATCGGTCTAATTTAATCAAAGAAGTGAATGCACCCATGGGTTTATTGTTTCATAAAATATTTTTCCTTTTGTTTCAGTTCTACGTGATGAATTCCGGATAATGCCCTCGGACACTCGAGTGGCTGCTGGTGAAACGGCGTTGCTCCTCTGCGATCCTCCCAAGGGTCATCCGGAGCCAACAATCAGTTGGAAAAAGGATAATGAAGACTTGGACATTGACGGCAAACGAATTCGTATTGTAGACGGTGGTAATCTTATGATAAGTGACGTTAGAGAGTACGATGAAGGGCGTTACAAGTGTCTGGCTCATAATTTGGTAGGTTCCAGAGAAACCCCTCCAGCAACTCTCACAGTGCATGGTAAGTCAAACTAGTTAACCCGCTTTATTTTTAATTAGACATAACTTCGGGTGTACTTCAAGTAAAAACTCTTTGAGCGTATAAGAGAATTACCGAATACTCAGTTGAACTGCAGCAAGTCGTGTTTGAATATTCCATGAGTTGAAACCGTCGAGGATAATTTGAAAAATGTATAAGTTTGCGTTCTCTTTTAGTTAAGCCTTATTTCAACAAAGAGCCTCAAGACATAACAACTCTTGTTGGAGAGAAGGTTGTATTTCAGTGTTCCGTCGAAGGAGATCCCACTCCTGGTGTGCTCTGGCGAAGAGAAGATGGTAAAATGCCCGTTGGCAGAGCGAGAATCTTGGACGACAAATCGTTACTTATCGACTCCGTTCAAACGTCTGACGAAGGTCTTTACATTTGCGAAGCGGAAAACGTTGTTGGCTCTGTAATTGCAAGAGCCACCCTTGTTGTGAATTGTGAGTCGGGTTACTTTAAAGGTCATGCGAACGTCAATTTTATGAACGGTTATTTTAGCCCCTCCCGTTTTTATCGAGCGTCCTCAAGATCAAAAGGTTGGATTGAATGGTGTTGCCGAGTTTCATTGTGCCGCAACGGGCAATCCACCACCGTCAGTTTTTTGGAGTAAAGAGGGTTCGCAGTTACTCATGTTTCCGGACACGTCATACGGTCATATGCACGTTAATTCACATGGAACTTTGCGTATACAAGGCGTTCAGAGGGAAGACTCCGGATATCTGGTTTGTTCTGCTCTGAGCGTTGCGGGATCGAATAGCGTTAGAGCGTACCTTCAAGTAAGACAGGCTTTGGATTCTTTCGGTTAGAGATTAATAGCTTACATTTTTAGGTAACATCGGTCGCGGATTCTCCTCCCCCAATTATTCATATTGGTCCTGCCAATCAAACGTTACCTTTACATAGCATAGTAACATTTTATTGTAGAGCGTCTAGTCCAGAAGGAAACCCACCTAAAATACGTTGGTTGAAAGACGGTAATATTTTAGACCCCAGAAAGTCCCCAGGAAGATTAAGTATCAAATTCGATGGTACTCTTGATATAGATGGTATGATGTACCCACGTTCTAAAGCAAATCGTGGGTTACATGTTTTTTTTATTTTCCAGATCTTCAAGCGGAAGATTCAGGTTTATATACTTGTTCTGCTATTTCTGAGAGTGGAGAAAGTTCCTGGTCGGCATCACTGAGTGTTGTTGAAGATTTGTCGGTTCCTCTTCATCGCAGTCCGGATCCTTCAACGTTCCCTAAAGCTCCAGAAAGACCTCGAGTGCTTAACGCGACTGAATCGAGTATTACATTAACGTGGGAAAGTGATGAAGAAGATCTGGGTTTAGTTGGTTATACGGTCGAATATTGGAGCCCAGATCTTCAAACTGGTTGGGTTGTGGCCGCCCATCGTGTTCCTCGACAATTTATGGTAGTGCGTGAACTAAAACCGGACAGTTCGTATGTTTTTATCGTGCGTGCCGAAAACGCTCACGGTTTATCACCCGCTAGTGCAATTTCTAATACGGCAAGAACATTAGCCAATTCCAGAACAGTGCCACGGTCTGAACTGGATACTGCTAGAACGGTATTGAGTGCAAAAGTGGTAGACCTTATTGACGCTAAACCGTTGTCTTCCACGTCAATCAAACTGACATGGAAACATAGTGCTCCTGATTACGTCGAAGGACTTTATATACGTTTCCGGGAAATATCGGGCGGGTCACACAATTACAACATCTTAACAGTATTGGACACTCTCAGTAAAAGTTATTCGGTGACCAACTTGAAAAAGTTTACGAAATACGAATTCTTTATCGCTCCCTTTTACAAAACGATAGAAGGTCAGCCATCAAACTCTCGGGTGGCTGAAACATTGGAAGACATTCCATCTGCTCCGCCGGAGAGCATCACTGCTGGGGTGTTCAACGATAGTGCCGTGTGGATTAAGTGGTTACCTCCTCCGCCTCAACACCATAACGGTATTATTTCGGGTTACAAATTACAAGTGAAGGGCATCACTATCCGAACACTTTCGTTGAATGCAACGACTCACTCGGTCTTGATTGGAAATCTATCTTATGGGACTGTGTATTCAGCAAAAATTGCAGCAACGACGCAAATGGGCTTGGGACCATATTCAAGTCCGATACAACTAATGACCTCTACCGGGGCTCAAAGTCCCAGGACGTTAGGTCCTTTGGTGCCTTTGATGCGTCAAACATGGTTTGTGGTGCTTCTGGCTGTGTTAGCGGTTTTACTTCTCGCAGGAGCTGGTGGTGTGTTATATATGAAAAGACGGCAAACACTTAACAAACAATTGGGCCATTTAACTGTTCCAACCGTCAACGCCAATCACATCAACAATAAGGAGAGTCTTTGGATTGATCGAGGCTGGAGAGCCAATGATACTGATAAAGATTCTTCTGTCCCTTTGGCTTCTCAGCCAGCTGATTACGCTGAAGTTGATACAAAGAACATGCAAACGTTTTACAATTGTAGAAAGTCCCCTGATAATCCAACCCCGTACGCTACGACAATGTTGCTACCTCCACCAACATGGTCTGAAATTATTCCTCCACCGCCGACACACCCTCCACCAGATTGTCCCAGAGAAAGTCCTCCAGTTCCTCCTCCGAGAAGCGGAAGCAGCTGTGGAAACGGCGGATATTCCTATTGCTCTGCTAGCATATTGAATAATTCGAACAACAGTCAATGTTGCAACAATAAAACACCACAGTACCAGAAGCCGTCTCCTGGTCAACAATGGGACACTCATAACAGCAGTTCTCTTGCAAGTGGTAGCAGCTCGGGGAAGAGATCGTTTACAAGGGGTCACTATCACCATCCAAAAACCTGCGAGAACAAGTTGTGGGGTAACTGTAACTGGGAAGATGGCGATGCAGACGTTGAAACTGAACGGTCGTATTCAAGTAGTCATGATACCACGTGCTCTTGTAGCGAATCTTCGTGTTTGTATGCTGAAGCCGGACCATCCACTGCATTTAGGGAACCACCACCTTGCCAGATCAAGCAGTGCGTGAAGTGAATGGGTAATTTCTTTCCGCTAAAGGTGTAAAGTAACTCAAATAAGTTTCAGCGCGTCATCTATACTAGTCGCTAGCAGTTAGTTACCTTATGTGCGTATAAAACTAAAAGACAATTTATTTCCTTGCATGGGCGATCTTGAACCAAAGCCACGCTTCACCTCTGTATTCTTCGACTGATTTATTTCATTAGCAATATTAGATAACCTAAATGATTATATTGACGACTGTGATCTAGTTAAGGGCGTACCACTTGTAAATATAAATTATTTGTTTGTAAATACCTAATTTGTTACTTCAACGATGTTTGTGTAGTATCTATCGCAAGCCAACTATTCGTAATTATATTATTACTATTATTATAAGCGTTTTTAATAAACGAAAATTTAAATATTAACAAGCAATTTAATAAAAAAAATCTGACAGAATTTTTTACAGATTTCGAAAAGGTAAGTGTAAGCAGCATACTTGAACAGACGAAATTATTGGTGTTGGTAAGTAGAATTCTTTTTTTATAGGTGTAAGTTAAATAAGATGATTACTTCCTGCTTTTATTGGTAGGAGACACAGTGAAGTAGATAAGTTTAAATAATGGTAAGAATTAAAATAAAAAATGTTTATGGAATCGTAAAAGAGATTTGGCATAAATGTTTTATACTCACGTCAGACACCCGGAATGTAAAACTAGCCCCAGTAGGTACAGGGTGCATAGGAAGGGTTTCAAATTTAATAAGGCAATTAAGGTTATCGCTCTCGGGGCCAGTAAAGTTGGTAGGTAATAAAAAATTCTTTTTTCGCATGATGTCGAAATGTTAATGTAGTTTAGGTGTTCTTTGGACAAATGTCCATGGAAATAACGAAGACAGGGTAAGTAATAAAATAGATCTTAATATTCTTCTACCTTTCCACAGCTGGAAATAAAGTTATGAGTTACGGTGTCGGCCACACCAGGAGATATCATCACGTTTAATAAAGCTACGAGTCAGCTTACTCCATTATTCGCGGAGGTGATTTCGAGAGCGCATAAAATTGTCAGCAGTACCGCTTTTTAATATACGAAATGGTTATGAAATATTCCCGCTATGCAGGCAGCACATGTTGCAAACACATTTTCGTACCCGATTTTCTTAATCTTTTCTTTCTTTTCGAAATATCATTGTCGGCCGGTCACGTTGAGACTCCTTTTGTTAATTAATAAGTTGTATCCAGAAAACTCTCACCAGGACGTGACGCGCATGTCGTGTTTCTATTAGTTGTGGAGTCAATGACATCTTGTCTTAAAAAGTTTTTTTCTTAAATTGTTAATATTTGTCGTAATTGTCTTAAAAGTAATAGAAAACGATATTCATATGATTTATATCACGTCACATTAACCCATAAATGCTCAGAGAACACATTTCCATTTGAACCCTTGCCACCTAATGAGTGCGACAAAAAAATATTCAATAACCAGTATTTCTATGTTTTTAACGATGCTCTTTTCGATTGTGTTGGTTAAAAATACCTCCGACAATATTAAAGCATGGAAAAATCGAAAATAAACAAAAAAACGTGATTTTTGAAATGACTTTTTCCTTAAAAAGTAATTTTTTGTGCCCTTACGATTTTTTTATATGCTTAAAACCTATATAAATCA